GGCGGGGCTAATGGGTACATGCTAATGATCATGGGCGGGGTTGTGGAGAACAGGGTGTGGCCATGAGGGTGGGCGGGGCCCTGGGAGTCTCCAGTTGAAGAGAGGGCTTATGGGAGTGGGCGGGGTTAAGGCCCAAGGGGTGGGGCTTTGGGAAGGGTTTCCTGAGGGCGGGGCCATAGGAAGGGGCAGGGCTCCACCTGCCAGGCCGGTGTTTGCTGAGTGGGCGGGGCCAAGGGGGGCAGGGTTCTTGGCATCAGTGGGGTGTGGACCATTGGGAGGCGTGTCCTGACAAGGCCCCACCCCCAGACGGGCTGACCGTGTCCCACCTGCCCCATGGCCCCACCGCCCACTTCACCCTGAGCGGGGCCGTCCTGCGCCAGGAGGTCGGGGGGCTCGGGGGGGCCCCCCTGGCTGCCCCCCACCTGCTGCTGCTGCGCCTCGACTCCACCCTCGGCAAAAGGGTACGGCCGGGGGGGCACGGGGGGGGTGGGGGGCAAAGGGACATGGGGGAGACAAAAGTGACAGGAGGGGACAAAAAGGGGGCGTGGGGGGGCAGTGAGGACAGTGGGGACATGACGGGGACAAAGAGGACATGGGGGGACAAGGGAGGCCGAGACCTGGGGGGATGTAGGGATGTGAAGGGACGTGGAGGGGTCTCTGGGGGCATGTTGGGATATGGGGTGATGTGGGGACATGGGGGGACACAGAGACTTGGGGGGATGTGGGGATGTGACAAGATCTGGGGGGGTTTCTGGAGAGACATGGGGGATTTTGGAGGAGACACGAGGGCCACTGGAGGGACACGGGGAGGACGTGGGGACATGGGGCCATTCATGGGGCACCCAGGGGTGTAGTGACCCCATCCCTGTCCCCCCAGGTTGGGACCATCCTGAAGCACCTGTTCCCCGTGCCCCGCCCCGACAGCCGCCGCGTGGTGACCTTTGCCAACGAGGATGACGTCATCCTCGTGCGGTGGGTGACACGGGGGGGTGACGGGGGTGGGTCACACTGGGACTGGGACTGGGCCTCCCCTTGACCCCCCTGTCCCTGCAGGAACCACGTGTACCGGCGCCGGGGCCGGACGGTGGAGCTGGAGGAGGTGGGACCGCGGTTCCAGCTGCGCCGTGAGTGTCCCCCTGTCCCCATTCACTGCCCCCCTGTCCCCAACCAGTGTCTCCCCATCCCCACCCAGTGCCCTCCTTGTCCCCAACAGCCCCACGAGGGTCTCCCCATGTCCCCTGCTGTCCCCAACGCCCCTGTGTCCCCCCCAGCCTACCTGATCCGCCTGGGCACGCTGGAGCAGGGGGATGCAGCGGACGTGGAGTGGCGCTGGCACCCCTACACGGCCACGGCCCCCAAGCGCCGCCTGCTCAGCGCCACCTGAGCCCCCCGGACCTGCCCTGGGCCCCCCCAGGCAGCTGGGACCCTCCTGGAAACCTGGCACCACCCAGGCAGCTGGGACCCTGTTGGTTGGCTGGGACCCCCCCAGGCTCCAGGGCCCCCCTGGGTCCCCCCTGGGTCCCCCCAGAACCCCCCCGGGTGTTTCACACACCTGGGAGTCACAGAATCATTTTTTATTTGTCACAATAAAGCTTTTTTGGCTATTTTGAGCTCTGTGGTGATTGGCCAGGCTCTGCTGCAGCCCCTCCCTGGCAGGAGGGCCCCAGGGGTCCGTCCCCCCTTCACACCCGGGACCACTCGGCCGGGGGGTCCCGTGGGCCCTTGGGCTTCCCAATGCGGAAGTTAAACCCTGGGGTTGGGGGAGACAGGGAGACACTGAGGGGGGGCAAGATGCCCCATGTCCCCCCTGAATCCCCTCCTGAACCACCCCAGACACCAGGGCCCTCCTGAACCCCTCACTCCCCACCCTGGACCCCAGGAACTCTCTG